TGCATTGTCTTGATGGAAGACGACATATTTCCTGACGCTTTTCATCGATTACTATCTTTAATCGATAAATTTCTGAAAAATACTTGTCCATAACACTCAAAGTCGTTCCAATGCCACACTGTGTTAGGCCCAGGCATGTTTTACCTTCTCTTCTGATGCGTTTTCTTGTCTAAGTCAACCGCTGTTAACGGTTATTGTCGAAAGAAAGCTTTAAATAAGAATAGTGAGCATTGAGTTTTGTTGCTTTGGATCATCTCGAAGGTGTTTGACTGTGTTTGGTATGTTGGTCTTCTTCATAAGTTGAAAGGTTATGGTATTTCTGAATGATTTCTTTTAAATGATTCAATCTTTCTTATCAAATCGTGAAATGAATGCTGTCATTCAGAACAATCTTCAAGATCTTTTTGCATTAATGCGGGTGTCCCCCACCCCAGAGCGCCAACCTTCGAACTACGTTGTTCCATTTTTTCATCAACGACCTTCATGTCATCAGTTCACAAATCGGTATTTATAATGATGACACAACTATTTACTCCTGATCTAATAGTAAGTCCAATCAGTTCGATAAGGTCAAATGAGCAACTGATATTAAAAATGGCCTACAATCTGTTGTTAACAGAGGCAAGAAATGGTTTGTTAATTTTAATGCCTCAAAAGAAAAATTGCTCTTTTTTGAATCATTTTGGAGAAGCTGTTTTTTTTTGTGTTATCGGCAAATTTGCCAAAATTCATATTTATTTTTATTATATATTATTTTCTTCCCGAATACTTTCGAATGTTGCTACATTCATTTTCTGCGTATATTTACGCAGAGACAGAAAAAAAACCCCGAAAAACAGCAAGATAACATTGAAACACCAGTTCCCGTACGATCACCGAAGTTAAGCAACGTCGTGCCTGGTCAGTAACTAGATGGCTGACCGCTTGGGAATATTAGGTGTTGTAAGCTTGGATGTGCGGGTGGTGTAATAGATAACGGCTCGGAATAGTTCCAATTTCAGTTAGGTTTGTTATATTCACTTACGCGCAAATGCCCTTGGGAAAGCTATGAATCCACTTTTTCTCCCCCTCAGTTATGCGTTAATTAGTAAGATTAATATATATGCTTGATATCCTTCTGACGTAATCTGGACAGAACGCGCCAGACACCAGTTCAGAGACCCAACGGCTATTGCTCTAGATTTTATAGGTGTAGCGATATAGCCACGGATGTTCGTTCGGTGTTAGATTGGTTGTTTTGAATTTGCAGTATATTTAATACCAAGAAAAAAAATAGTGTCTTCATATGAGTGTGAAAGGGAGCGTTAGATATCTGGCCTGGGAGCCAAGGGTGTGGTAGCCAGTTGGAAACTACTGCCCTAGAACAATGAAACGTATATAATTATTCCAGATATTCACTCGGCAGTCCAGCCCTCCCCAGAAAAAAAATTATTGATTGTACATTTAAAACCTTATTTTTGAAAGCGAGAAAACTCTAATATATAATTCATTGACAAAGTGTTGTTACTGTTGTTTTTTAACCTCTAGATGTTACATCTGATATTAGCATCTTCAGATATTTTGTGGGGATTTCATATTTTCTGTGAAGAGCTCAAAGCATAATATTGATTATTAATTTTTATAAGGTCATCAAAAATTTTGCCATTTTTACGTCGTGTGGGAAAAAGTGATCACTGATACGCAAATGAGTGCGTCACGTGTCGGGAAAACGTTAGGGTGGGTGTAGTTCTGGCATTGCTTTTAACCAATGCAGGTGCGTTGCGCACACACATCAGTCATAGCTCGAGCAGCGGTCGGGGAACATGGCAGTGTCGAAGCAACTCGCTCAGGGTTGTCTGCTTTATGAATTTAAGGTGGGCTTGTCCGCAGTTGGAATACATCAAACCTTTGGGGACAATACTGTGAGAGAACGCACCGCCAGGCATCGGTTTCAGAAGTTCAGGTCGGATGATTTGTCCCTTTGTGATGGACCCGATAATTGCCGGCCACAGATCCTGGTTGATGAGGCCCTGAAAGCAAATATAGAGGACAACAGATCAGCTACTGCTGGGTTTGCCGAAAGCTTCCAAGCTTCTAATAAAAAAAGTGATACTTCATCTGCGCTGCATAGTGAAAGCGTACAAGTTGAGCAAGTGGGTAGCAACAAGCAACAACGAGTGATAAACTGTTTCTCGTTGCATTCTCGATACCGCAACGTGCCCATATTTGATTGAGTGCACCCCAGTGACAAAAAGTGGGTCCTGTATGACACTCCCAAGCGTGCCAGACATTGGTTGTCACCATGGGACTCTGTTCCTCACACCACGATAAGTAGTGCACTATGGGCTGCAACCAGCGACCAAACCATTACTGCGACCTCTACTCGCAGCAGTTAGAACGTGGGCAACAGGTACTGAAGCAGAAGGAACCAATATCCTTTAACTGAAAGGGTGTCACCTTCCTCCATGCCAAGCTTCATGCGGTGCAGTGGACAGAGATAACATACGACAAGTTGACTCGGAGACATTGTACCATCCACTTTACTCCCTGGATTTTGCGAAAACATATTACACGAATTTCATTTCAAATGTTTGTGTTGATTAAAGACTACATTATTTACATTATTCGGACTATTGTCCTCATCTTTGTCGCCATATTTACCACAAAGTGAAAGTTGTACGCTCCGGCCTTCTTCAGGTGGTTGGAATTTCGAACTGAACCCTTTATTTCGCTCACTGGGGTAGACTGTTCTATTTCCACGTGCCATGTTTGATGGATGTCAGTTATCAGTTATTTCCTGCTAATTTTCCCTATGAAAGTTCTCCACTTAACTGGGTATTGAACCCACACTCTTTGGGTCCTGTCACTGGATCTAACCAACGCCTTTATCCACTGTGTCTTGTGTCCTTGAGGACATCTGGGTATGAATTTCTAGATATTATAAACCTAATGTCCTCATGAAATATAGACAGATTAAAGACTAGCATTCATATTTTGCCCGAGTCTTTCTTTTATATATCCGTAATTTGAAGAAATTATGATTATATATTGATGGATCATTAATGAAAAAAAAAAAAAGGACACCTGTAAGTAACTATTCAACTCTCAAAAGTTTTATTATCACACTTCAGTTTAGTACAGAACATGATCTCAGTATGTGATCACTAAGTGAAAAAAGAACATAGTAGTCTACCAATTATTGCCAGATAGTAAACAGGAAACAAGAGATAAACTTCTACTCCTGATCAAAATACCGGGATTTAGCGTGAACACACATCCCTTGCCTTTTGAACAGGAGTAGTGGTTTATCCCTTGTCTCAAGTTTAGGACTGCGGTTCCGGTTCCTTTTAAAGTCTTATTACCTTTCACTCTCAGTCGCCCCTTGAGTCTTAGTGGCGTTGCCGCCTTGTTTGGGAATTGATTAATATATATATATATATATATATATATATATATATATATATATATATATATAAGGTAAATTTACGCCCAACATCATGCACCATATCACCTGTCCTCACAAAAGTGATACTGTTATAATCTGCGATAATTCAAAAAAAATATCGACAAAAATTTAGTACATTATGTGCTGTTACCAATGGCAAAAATCACTACTTGCAGCAGTTGGAACGTGTGCATCAAGCCTTGAAGCCCAAGAAATCAGCATTGCTTTATTGCAGGTGTGTACTGTTCTTCCATGACAATGCCTCGGGCGGCCAGGAATAACATGCCGCGACTAGCCTGGAGATACTGTGCCATCCAGCTTACTTCCTGGACTTTGCACAAACGGATTCCCACCTCTTCCATTCTCTGGACAACCATGTTCCTGGAATATCCTTCGTAAATATAGTACATTATGTGCTGCTGCCAAAGGCCAAATTTCACTGCGCACCTGTACTCGGAGCAGTTGGAACATGTGCATCAAGCACAGAAGAAGAAGAAACCAGCATTGGTTAATCGCCAGTGTGTAGTGTACTTCCATGACAATGCCTCGAGTTGCCAGGAATAATATGCGGCGACTTGGTTGGAGACACTGTGCCATCCACCTTAATCCCTGGACACTGCACCAAAAGATTGCAACCTCTTCCATTCTCTGGACAACCACCTTCGTTGAAAATCTTTCGTAAATGAGGCAGACTAGCGACATGTCCTCACAGAAGTCTTTGCCTCCAAGACACATGATTTTTGCCGACAAATCCTTGCACAGCTGGAGGTATGTTGGCAAATGTTTCTGGATGCCGATAGAGATTACTTTGAGGATTAATGGCAAGTCAAATTTGATGTATACGTTTTCTTTCTCTTCAATCAAAAACGGCAAGGAATTTTGGGTTACCTTTGTCTGAATCTTTCGCTTTGCTTCGGTGAATTTAAAATTTGTTTGAAAATATACTATTGCAAACAGAGAATGTATGCACATTAAATTATATAAGATCTCCGTCGACATCCCTCAGTAACGCTTACTCAGTTTTCGTCACTTTCAGTAGCTTGTTGGTTTTATCATTTTGTTTAGGGTGAAATTTTATATATATATATATATATATATATATATATATATATATATATATATATATATATATATATATTGACGAATGCAAGCCCACATATACGTTATTCCCCACTCTCACAACAGAACCCAAAGCAGAGACGCATAGAAATACGCGTAGGCGAATTTTAAAAATAGATTCAGACCCAGTAAGATGACACATAAAAAAAAGCAACGCGATTGGTCAAAAGCAGCCAATCAGCAGTCGAGAAAATTAGGCGCCAAAAAGGAGACGCGCACGTGAAGAGAAGAGAAGTAGCTTTACAGGAGTGACCGGCTGACGGAAGGTCACGCCAACGTCCATGTTCCAGGCAGCATGCTGAGGCGACACATTCCCAGAGGCAGAGAAGCAGACCAACCACTCAAATGCCAAGAATGTGAAGATAGTCCAGACACAATTGGCCTGAACCCCTCGGAGATCATCGCCTTAAGAAGAAATCCTAAATATAAGGCAGAGAATGTGATCCCAGTTGAAAACCTAAAGCTTCAGTCGCTGAACCAAGAATACAAGAAAAGAGACTATTATCGCCTTTGGTCGATAAATGCATATCTCTGATAAGATAAAAAAAAACAAAAAAAAAAAACCAGTATTACTATGATTCGCAAACACCCAATAATATTATGTTCTTGCACACACCTTTCCATAATCGTAATATTAGACAATTGAAACTATACCCCTGTATATGTGTGAAACATTGCATTCGTTAATATTTGTCGTATCCCAACTAAATATATATTATAGCTTACATGATATACTATCTTTATTGTCGTTGCCATATACATGTTCTTGTTAATTAAATATTATATTGTTCATAATGTCGTTTCGTTCATTTATGGTCACCGGTCGACTGAATGTGTTATTCCAAAAACCCAGGGAAGCCTAATTCAGTTGGATTATAATTAAGTTGGACTTCGCTTACTTTCTTTTCTTTTTATATTATCTGCTGATGATTTAATGATGTAAGGGAAATCACCCTAATATTTATTCAGTAATCCCATAACGGAAGGTTATTTAGGGAATATAAGATATAAACGAATCATCGTGCAGAATACATGGATCTAGCCTGGCGTTGATTGTGTCCCCCATCACAATATTAATACCAGGTGAGGACCTATATCAATATATATATATGTATATATATGACTGAATAAATTACAAGCATTATATCTGCTAATTTTTAACAAAATCTGTTCATACTCACGTATAACCTTCTGTGTATTGATGTTAAAGGACGAGAGAAATTTCTGCAGCTATCTAAATTTCTTTTATTTTTATGTTCCATGTACTTTCGATCTTCTTTCAAAATCATCTTCTACATATTGTTCATTAGTACAAGTATTTATACAAACTTGTGCGTTGTTATCCATAAACGTAATGTTTTCATTATGCTTTTAAGTTCAAAACGGTTGACAATGTGCTGAACGTTCATTAGAATGTGAAAAAAATTAACATCCTTTAACATCAACACCCAGAAATTTATTCGTGGTTATGTGCAGATTTTGTAAAAAAATTAGCAGACATAATGCCTGTAATTTATTCAATCAGACTTACCGAAAAGAGAATTTGCTGCCTAAATACACAATATCTATCTATCTATCTATCTATCTATCTATCTATCTATCTATCTATCTCTCTCTCTCTCTCTCTCTCTCTCTCTATATATATATATATATATATATATATATATATATATATATATATATATATATACTATATTTCAAAAGTTTTCATTGAGTAACCCTTTTCCTTTAGCATAGCCCAGAAAAAAAAGTCAGTTCTTTCTTCTTTCTACAAAATCATGTTCAATCTCTGGAGTTAAAATAAAGTATAGTTAATGAGATTTCCTATGTGCCTTTAGACTTTAGGGACATATATATATATATATATATATATATATATATATATATATATATATATATATATATATATAGAATACATAATGATATAATAGCCATGTAGTGCCAAGACATTTTAAAAATTCTATTTTCATAATCGTTAATCCCAATATCTTTTCTCATGAAGCAAAACCGAACAAATTGTCTTAGATAAATTTTCCACACACTTACATTTTTGTCGCCCCGTTCGATTCTAACTCTTTGGTTTTCGAAATTAACTCAAGTTCTTGAATAACTTAGCATCGAGATAGTGTAAATATTTTTTGCATCTTGCTGGAATGTCTGAGGGCGTTGAGCTGGCACTTGGCGGAGAACTACGCAGAAAACAAATTCCTGAGTATTTTGCCACTCCCGGAAATGTTGCAATCGGATAAGTAATTTCATGCGGCTTAGTTTTATAACTCGACTTTTATTTACTTCTTTTGATTACCAAGAAATGAAGATTAGCTATGTGAAACGGATTTATTCAAGTACTACTCATTCACCTTTTTCTGCAAATACACTTGGGAAAGGTATGAATACACCTCTTCTCCCTAGCTATGGGTTAAATAGTAAAACGTGCATCACTAAATCCTTATTATCGCTAAAAAAACTGTAAGGCTAAAAATATTTTTTAGTTTTAAATAAATTGCAAAGGGTTGATAAGCCGTAAAAAACGAATTAATCAATCAATGAAATATTGATTAGCTACACAAGCATGTCTTCCAGATTTATTTACATTCTCTGGAATATAAATGTATAGAAACGATAGTAGCCACAAAGTGAGGGTTCAGTTCATATAGAGATTTTAATATAGAATAGATCTCCGACTTTATATCCACTTTTTTTAAACAAATTCTGATTAGGTATGAATCAACCTATTCTCCCCTAGTTATGGGTTAATTAGTAAGAATTGTATCATTAAATCAGTATTATCTCTAAAAGAATCTCTTACAATCTACAAATATTTTCTGGCTTTAAATAACCTGCAAAGAGCTGATAAGCCGTAGAAAAGAATGAATAGAAAAACTTTTTCTTCATCAAACACCGTGACATACCTGTGTTGGGATATACATATATAAAAAAAATAAAAGGAAAGGATTTATAACAAATTTATCCACTCAGAATTTCCAGTTCACTGTTGATATCTGTGAGTTTTCTGTAAACGAATTTTTAATCAAGTCCGAGTGTGAGGATATGGGTTCATGCCTTTCTCAAAACTTTATCGAGCGGGTGCTGCAAGGAACTCAACCCGGCCAAGAAAACATTCAAACAAATCTTTGGTCATTTGTCCAGATATTGTATTTTATACTACCCCACGCCGAGGAAGATAAAGCTATAATCCCTTCACTCTAGATGTTGCTGTTTTGATTTCCATGGCAAGTAGGTTTTTATGTGGTGAAGTTGCTAGCCCCACACCTAACCTGTTTTTAATTCAGAGATGTCCTTCTCCTAGACTGGTCGCCAACCAAAGCGAGAGAACCCATTCCGTTCTGCTATTAACTCCTATCTGGAGGAAGAACAGGTGGATTCAGATTCACACCTTCCGAAGGGTATTTCAACGGTAACAAACGCAACAACCTCGACTGGAATCTGAACGCGACACACCGATCCTAATTTCTGCACACGTCCATATTGTAAAGTGAGTCGAGACAAAATCCTTCGGCATCCCTTCATGTTACAAAGTGAACATATGTAGCCTCGTCTACATTTGAAAGTAGATATTGGCCTTTATCCGGACCCCTACATAAAATGAATATGACACAAATTTAATGTTTCACACGTACGTAGGGGCAGAGGATAAAAATAATCCAATCACAACAGCATTTCTCCTTGAGGACTCTTCATGCACTAGGAATTGACAAAAAGTGTCCTCCGATGAGAGAGGACCCATAAACCGGTTTGGCTTTGATGAAAGAGGACCGATAAAGCGGTTCGGCTCTAATGAGAAAGAACCAATAAAGCGGTTTGGCTGTTTTAATTGTTGCTATATTTGCACCTACGTTGTTCTTAATTTTTATCAGTGACCTTCATGATGACATCAATTCTCAATTTGATATCTATATTGATAACACAACCATTTACTCTTGAAGACTGATCAGTTCGATAAGGTCAAATTATCAGCTGGTCTCAAGTATGACGTTGTTAACTAGGGCAAAGAATGGTATGTTAGTTTTAACGCCTCCAAAGCGAAGCTTCTCTCTATCAATCATCTGAAAGACCCCTTACTAGATGGTATGTTCCTTTTAACGGTCCTGCGAAGTCTATATGTATTCTGGACCATGGTATATCTGTTCTATCTGGCTGTAGCTTTTTCAGCTGCAATCAATGATCTTGAAGCATGAGCTATTGGTTTAGTTGTTCTGTTCTCATATTTATATAGTATCACTTCTCCAATACCCGAATCACTTGCATCTGATGCGACCACAATCGTTAATTTAGGGTCAAAATGAGCTAGTGACAAATTTAATGTTAAGACTTTCCTGATCTCTTCAAAAGCACTTTGACATTTATCTGTCCAATTCCATTTCACATCTTTCTTCACCAGGTTACTGAAGGCTACTCTTAATTCGTGCATGTTTGGTATATATATATATATATATATATATATATATATATATATATATATATATATAAAATAATAAAGTATACCTCTGTTATTATACATAGAGCACTATTTTATTGGCATCTATAATTATGTATTATGTATACGTATAAACGTTATTTTAGTGGATACCCGTATTTGAGTCGACACTTCGTTTATTTTAAACAGTATTTTATTTCGTCTACCGGCCTGTACACTCAAGAAAACGTATTAATGAAAAGAGAGACAGAGGGGGGAAAGAGAGAGAAAGAGACAGAGAAAAAAAACAATAGATAGATAGATAGATAGATAGATAGATAGATAATCATAATTGGCAAGAGGGAAACTGATAGATTTTCAAATATAACGGAATATGCGATAAAATTAATATATATATATATATATATATATATATATATATATATATATATATATATATATATATATATATGATAGTAATTAGCAAACCCTAAAAATGCTTGTAACTTTGTAAGTGGAAAACTCTTTTTCAGTTCATTTTTTAATTTTTCAGTTGCCTTGTTAGTACTGGTCGTAACAACATTTATCTTGTTGCAAAAAGAGTTAATTGGAAGGTCCCAAAGATCAAACAATGCAATCCAGTCTGTTCCAAACAAATTAGCAGTATTCTTTAATACAAATACTACTGCCTTTGGGGGGTTTCCAACAAAAGAAACGTTACATCTGAATTCACCCCCAAAGTTTAATCGCTTTCCTGAGACGCCGTACACAACTTTATCAAAAGTCAATATACTGGGTTTATCCATTTTTCTCCATGTCTGTTCATTTATGATAGCGACATCAGATGTATAATACTATTTTTATTTAAAAAATATTTTACATCGCTACATAAAAATTTCTATGTTTCGCAATTTGAAATTGTTCCATTATCAGGTGATGTTAGGTAACTTATGCGTTATAATATACATAATATATATATTATAACTATAACTATATATATATATATATATATAGTTATTATATATATATATATATATATATATATATATATATATATATATATATATATATATATATATATATATATATATATATATATATATATATATATATATATATATATATATATATATATATATATATATATATATATATATATATATATATATATATATATAATTTAAATAAAAACAGACCACTTTTAAGGTTCCATGTAATAAATTATTTCACCACAGCCCTTTTAAAGGACTGCGGATCGTCAGACTTTACTTCCAAACAAAAAATGAAAAGAAAATTTACACATTTTTGTCGGGCCGTATTAAACATATGTAAATTAACGAAGTGAGGTGGTGAGGGGGGAGAGAAGACATGAGTGAGTTAGCAGATATTGACACATTTAAACGATTAACTTAACGGAAGTTATATATTGATATCGAAGGGGTAGAGGAGAAAAAACCATAGAGAGAAAAAGAGAGAAGGAAATCATGAGAGAAGGTGTCACTAATTTTTTTTTTTTTTTTTTTTTTGTAAAAAAAAAATGCCTAGAAAGAGATGCTGTTATTTTGTTTTTACTTTGAAAGTGTTATTTTGGGGGTTCATAAAGATTATAATGTTTGATATAAATTTGAATGTCTCTAAACTGTCTACAAATAATTTAATTTGATGTTTGTTAGTGATTTAAATTTTTTTAATTTTGGGGATTTTCTATGAAATAGTCGATTAGAAAAATATTCATAGAAAGTACATTAAAAGAATAAAATTTCATTTTAAAATATAAGTTTACTCCTAGTAATCTTTTATTTTAATCTCTTTAAAAAAATTTGTTATTGATTATTAAGTTGACATCTCTATCCGTTTGAATTTTGTTCACCTTTTTTGTGACACCTTCTCTCATGACTTCCTTCTCTCTTTTTCTCTCTATGGGTTTTTTCTCCTCTACCCCTTCGATATCAATATATAACTTCCGTTAAGTTAACCGTTTAAATGTGTCAATATCTGCTAACTCACTCATGTCTTCTCTCCCCACTCACTTCCTCACTTCGTTAATTTACATATGTTTAATACGGCCCGACAAAAATGTGTAAATTTTCTTTTCATTTTTTTGTTTGGAAGTAAAGTCTGACGATCCGCAGTCCTTTTAAAAGGGCTGTGGTGAAATAATTTATTACATGGAACTTTAAAGTGGTCTGTTTTTATTTAAATTATTTGCTCTGGATTTACATTGAGCTCTCTGGATTTTATCCTCCTTTAGGTTTACCCATACGGATTACCTAGTTTTTCATAAACTAACTAACTATATATATATATATATATATATATATATATATATATATATATATATGGAGAGAGAAAGAAAAAGAGAGTGAGGAAGATAGACAGAGAATATGGACATAGAACCCCCCCTATATATGATGATTGTCAGCTTTACGTCTCAATGCGTTATTCAGGACAGAGTCTGGAGATCGCATGGAGGCGTGAAACTGACTCACAATTCCTATGTCCTTTCTATATCTATAAACGCTCTACTCCGATATTGACCTCTCTTTCCTCATAATTACTGCAAATCTTAAACATTTTTTGACCCACCCAACAACGGCCTAAAAAATTAAATATCTGAATACTACATCTGAAGATGCTTTTAGCTTTTACTATTAATCAGACAATTCTTAACACAACAAACGTAGTTCTTAGCCAGGGAATGTTTTTCACTCTTCTCAACAATATTTCAAATCCCTACCCCCCACCGATATTCAAATTGTGCCCCCACCCCGCCTATTATGCGTGTGCCCATATTTTAAACCCTGTATTAGACCTTTTACTTCGATTTGGATATTGTCTCATGCAAATCTGTGCTAAGGATTTCCACATAGATTTACTGAAAGAACGTAACAACGCGATAAAAAATAAGCATGCGTAAGTTGTTGAGCGTCATTTGCTGAAGGCAATGTGCACCCTTTCCACTATATATTTTATACTTTTATTCTTTACATGTACTAAACGTTGAATATTTGAAAATAAGAATTGCTCCGAGCCCTTCCCGTGTCGCAGGAATTTCAACCGAATAAACCACTCTTCTCGCCTTTGTTAATTTTAATCTGCGTTTCAAAACTGCTATGTACGGTATTTATTTATCACTGTCAATGTTTTTAAACGCATCTTTCTCCCAATCTATAACTTTATGGATGATGAATGGTAAATAGACAAAAAAAAAATAAATATTTTATAATCATTTTTTTAATTGTCTCCGCAGTTTAAGATTTCAAAGGCGTGTTTTTGCTGAAAATGTTGGATGCTTCATAGCACGACGTCATTTCATAATAAACATCGAAATATTTTTTTTCCATCTAAATTTTATTACAAGATTTATTCTTTATTACGAAAACATTCGAAAAAATATAAATTAAATAGATATATTTTGCTCAACATTGCCGGAATATTTCTTTTCGTTTACTTATTTCGGTCTTTTCTCGCTTGCCAATTTTCTCGATTCCCAGTTTTGTACACAACACAAAACAACGCTCACGCAGGTAATCAATGTGTGTGTGTGTGTGTGTGTGTGTGTGTGTGTGTGTGTGTGTGTGTGTGTGTGTGTGTGTGTGTGTGTGTGTGTTTTGTGTTGTGACTGTGTGTGTGTTGTGGGTGTATGTGTTGTGGGTGTGTGTTGCATGAAATGTTTCGGCTACGTCTGCTCCTTATTGTTGTTGTTCTCATTGATGTCGCTGTAATGGCGAAACCGCATCCAACAACAAAAAGTAAAGAAAAAAATTGATACAACGCCCGTCGGCTCAAAAGTTAATTCGCTCTACCTTTTTCTTCTTTCTCTTTTCTTTCTCTCTCTCTTTTTCTATTACTTCTCTCTCTCTCTGTTTGAGTTACTGTCTTTCTTTCTTATTCTTTTCTTTTTCATCCTTTTGATTTCTCTCCTCGTTTTTTAATTTATCCTTTCTTTCTCAACTCTTTTTTCCCTTTTTCTTTCTATCTCGTTTACCAGCTTTTTTTTCTTCTCTTTTCTTCCTTCCATTTCTTTCTCTTCTTTCTTTTTCCTTTTTCATTCTCTCGTCTCCTTTTATCTCTTTACTTTCTCTTCCTTTCTTAGCACTCTTTCTCTCTCCTTTTTTGTTTTTCTCTTCGCCTTTATTTTCTTCCAGTGCAGTTTATTGTTTTGTAGTTAGCGTTGTCATTTATTGTTTCCACTTATTCAGTCGCCTACTTGGCTAATAATAATAATAATAATAATAATAATAATAATAATGAGGGAGCGAAACACTCCTCCCTCTTTCTCTCTCTCCCTCTGTCTGTCCCTAATTCCTCTTCCATTTACACTCCACACACTGTCGTTTCAAACAGGAAGCCAATCCTCCCTAACTTCCTCTTCTGGCCTTTTCCATTAATATTAACAGTAATTTACACTTTAAAATAGAAATGACTTTCCTACAACTGGAAATTTTATCGCATATTCCGTTATATTTGAAAATCTATCAGTTAGGTCGTATCTATCTATCTATCTATCTATCTATCTGTTTTTTTTTTCTCTGTCTCTTTCTCTCTTTCCATCTCTCTATTATTAATACGTTTTATTGAGTGTACAGGCCGGTAGACGAAATAAAATACTGTTTAAAATAAACGAAGTGTCGACTCAAATACAGGTATCCACTAGAAATAACGTTTATATGTATACATAATTATAGATGCCAATAAAATAGTGCTCTATGTATAATAACAGAGCTATACTTTATTATGTGTGTGTGTGTGTCTGTGTATATATCTATCTGTCATAATTTAGCATTTAAGTTTCCTTTCTCTTTATGTAGATGTGTCTGTGTGTCTGTGCATATGTATCTAATTTAAGAACATCTATGACAAAGTGGAAAAATACTCAAATTTTCTTAAAATTGTTCTTAAGATTCATATTGCGTTTTTACATATGTATTTTAGATTCATATCTATTTATCTAAGTTTCTATCTGTTTATCGAGGTTCGGTCTCTCTCTCTCTCTCTCTCTCTCTCTCTCTCTCTCTCTCTCTCTCTCTAATATATATATATATCTTTGCTTCGTTGCTATCTATCTATATATTAGTTTCGTTGTTATCTATCTGTTTATCTATATTGGTTTCGTTGTTTCAATCAATCAACAGATTGCACCACTCTCCCATTCTGTCACTCGCACTCGCACTCGCCCTGTCTGTCTGTCTGTTTGTCTCTGTCTCTGTCTCTCTCTGTCTGTCTGTCTGTCTTTCTGTCTCTCTCTCTCTCTCTATATATATATATATATGAAAAAACATATTTCTCCAAAATACTGTGTCAAGTGATTATCGTTACAAATCAAGTGACATCAAGCCACATTATTAATTCTGCTTCTCAGTATCTTTGCTTCTGCATTGATGGCTTCAGTTCTTGTCCTAATTCAAATCTGAAATATTCTCTTCTCTCCTCCCTCTCTCTACCTCCCACTCCCCCTGTCTCTCTCCTCTTCCTTCTCTCTCTCTCTCTCTCTGAGAGCGTTTCAAATACTCTAATTAATAATTAGTATACAACTGTTACATTCACATTGAGTGACCGAGCAGATATTATTATTATTATGTTTATTGTTTTCATAGTAATATTACTATAATATATTTTTCATTTTTATTTATTATCATAATTTATATTATTATTTTATAATAATAATTATAATAGAAATATTGATTTATAATTAATTGATAATATTAACTTGTTTCTGTATAGAATTATGTATGCATCTGAATAAGTGTATATAAAAACCAGATCTCAATCAAACAGATTCACTCAATGGCCTTCACATACCTCCCTTGCCTTTTGAACAGGAGTAGTGGTTTATCCCTTGTCTGAAGTTCAAGATTGGGTTTCCGGTTCCTTTTAAAGTCTTATTACCTTTCACTCTCAGTCACCCCTTGAGTCTTAGTGGCGTTTCCGCCTTCTATGGGGTGAATTGATCAATATATATATATATATATATATATATATATATATATATATATATATATATATATATATAAAAAAAATTTACGCCCAACATCATGTACCATATCACCTGTCCTCACAAAACTAATACTGTTAGAATTTGAGATAATTAAAATAAAATTTTATATATGAGGACAAGGGCTTAAAATTTCTAATTTTGGGATCAAAAGTTTTTTGGGGTCCGGGAATTTGATAATTGCTAATTTCTCATATTGGTATAGTTTGCAAAAGAGGGTATAATTGTTGTATATTTTTACCTTTTAACTGAGATCATGATTTTTAAACTTAAAAGCTCTTTTTTTTTACTTATATTTTTTTTTTCTCATGTGCATTGAGCACTTTTTAATACTCATTTTACCTGGTCTGATTCAACTCTGACCATTAACCCTTATATATATATATATATATATATATATATATATATATATATATATATAATTATTTTAAAAAATTCATAACATAAATATGTTATAAAATCACTACAAAAATAGCTATTTTGTTTCACCACCCTCACATCATCACTTGATAAGACACCGAGTGTGTTGAAACAAAATGGCTATTTTTGTAGTGATTTTATAATATATTTATGTTATTGTTGTGGTACGATCCAACTAATTTACATAGTGGAGTACCGACCATATAAATATGGTTGGTACCGGGAAGACGGGGGAGGAAGAAGAGATCCAATCCAGAGACTCTGTCCGACTGCGACTAAGTTAACCCATTCTACAGGAACGGTCTTCCCAAGAATATACCAAACTATCTGTAAATATTGTGTACACGTTCTTGTGTCAATACATTTTGTTTAAGTACATTTTGTGTTGTATTATTATTATTCCATGCTTTATTCAAGTTTCAACAGTTATAATTTTTTTTTATTTTTTAAATAATTATATCTGCTCTACTTTGTATTGAGCACTCTTTTAAGAATAATAATTGTTGGTTATTGGAATTCATTCCGTATACACCAATTATATAGTTGTATATATATATATATATATATATATATATATATATATATATATATATATATATAACGTTTATCGTAACCTTTAAGTGATTATTAATGAATTAGAATATTTTATCAATATATTTAGTTAATAACTGAAGCATATTTAAATTCCTGATATCAAACCCGAACATTTTGTTTCATAGATACCTTAATGACGGAGCCACACTTACGATATAAGAGCTGAAAGCTATTCTTGTCGATAAAAGTCAATGGCAGACTAATGAATTGGAGATCAACGGATATCTCAATATAGTGTCGAACAAAAGAAAGAAATATTCCTTTACGAGAAGAAAAGCTCTGATTTGACCCTTAGAAAAATCTACAGAATTCAACAGCTTAACACTTTTTAAACTTTGGCCTAAACAGAAAGAGGACTAAAGGAAAGCGAGAAGAAAGGACTAAACACCAATTTCAAGAAGACAATTTACAGTTGTCAGCAAAATGAAGAGTTTAAGATGCCAACTACGAAATGGAAATGCCAAAATCAAGCAAGTACAAAAATTTAAATAGCTAGGAAGTGTTTTAACAGAGGACAGAATAGACGCGCCACCTACACCAGAAGACGCGTTAACATAGCGAAAGATGACTTCCAAAAGCTAAGCAAAATATCAAAAACAGGAAAATTTCGTAAGAAACAGAAAAGGGTGCTGAACTGTTATGTAATATTGGTTCTTATTTATGGCAGGAATACTGGATAATCTCATTATAGATGAAGAAGAGACTTGCATCAACAGAAATATGATTCTATGAAGGTTTGGTTTGGTTTGGTTTGTTTTACGGCATATCAACCTCAATGGGTTATTTAATGCCGACAAAATATTTATTGCTGGTAAGATTTTGTTTTGTCAAAAATCTATTTCTGGTAATAGTTTTCGTTCAAAAATCTTTGTTTAGTTTGTTTTGTTTTACGGCATATCAACCTTAATGGGTTATTTAATGCTGACAACATTTTTTCCTGGTAATATTTTGTTTTGTCAAAAATCTATTTCTGGTAATATTTTTTTCCTCAAAAATGTATAGCTGGTAATATTATTTTAAAAATTTATTGCTGGTAATATTTTTTTTCAAAAACCTATTGCTGGTAATAGTTTTTTTTTTCTTCAAAAATTTATTTCTGGTAATAATTTTTTACATAGTATTTCTGGTATTAAAACCTATTTTTACACTTTCATAATGCTTTTTACCTCATAGCTGGGACCCTAATAGGTGCTACCACCCCGGGTCAGTGTGGACCTGGCAACACCAGCAATTAAGAGGTGGTTCCACGCTCCTCAAAACCTCCTGATCAGAGGCCTTGCTGTTGGACTGTTATCGTCTTACCCAGGACGCGGATGTAGTTTAATGTCTTACCCAGGACGCGGATGTAGTCAGGACGCGGATCTAGTTTATCGTCATACTCGGGACGGTATTCTATGAAGGTTGTTGAGAATATCAGGAAGTGAACAAATGGGTAACGACAAAGTTTTAAGGAAAATGGACACGAAAAAGACACTTATACTTAGAATCAGTAAAAGACAATTGAAATTTCCAAGACATATAACAGTAGTGGCCAAACCGCGGCTTGCGAGCCACAAGCGCCTCTTTGATCTTTAATATGCGGCTCGTGGAAATATGTTACCTGGCATTCTTTTTTCATCAAAGTTAATATAAAAGGTAAATAAGAAAAAAAATTCAAGCTTTATAATTATTTTCTGGGGAAGGCTTGCGGACCGCAACCATCTTAACTTAAATCGTATATGGTTCTTACATTAAACAAGTTTGGCGACCCTGAAATATAATTAGGAAAGAGGGTTTCGAGAATTTGATACTCACGGGACATTGAAGGCAGATAGACAGAGGAAAGCAGCGAATAACAGACCTAAGGAGATTGTGCAAATGATTGGCAGAACAGGTTTTAGGAGACAGCGAAAAGACAAAACTTACTAAGAGCTAGAATAGGAAATTGTGGAGAGCCATGACCGCCCATGTCCCGAAGAAACACGGCACGAAGAATAAGAAGAATGAGGAAGAGGAAGAAAAAAAAATAATAACAATAACGAGAAGACGAATAATAATAATAATAATAAGAAGAAGAAGAAGAACAGTAATAATAATAATAATAATAATAATAATAATAATAATACGAAGAAGTAGAAGACGAATATTAATAAGAAAAGAACAACAATAAAAAGCCGAATAATAATAATAATAACAGTAATAATAATAATAAGAAGAAGACGATTATTAATAAGAAAATAATAATAATAATAATAATAATAAGAAGAAGAAGAAGAAGAAGAAGAAGAAAAAAAAAAAATCAGTCTTTCCATTCGGTCATATCTTTGAAAGCTTGCAAGGAGCAGGAAACATTTTTCAATCTGCAATATACACAAAAATAAAGAATGTCTACTTGAGACTGATCACTAATTGGAGTGGGGTAACTTCCACAAGTTACACACCACACACACACACACACACACACACACACACACACACACACATACACACACACAAATAGAAAAGAATAGTTTTACATTTTCAGTCTTAGATTTTAGTTTGTACAGAGATAAATCTTATCAAATTGTAGTTGTTTCATCATGGCAACTCGTTCGTTCACGGCAACAACTACTGCATCCACCTCTCCTGCATCCACCTCTCGGACTCAGCCTCTTTTATTTTCTGCTATCTTTTCCTCTTCCTTTTTCTCCTCATCCTCCTCCTGCATTTCCCAACACCCTGACGTGTGCATCATATATATTGTTGTTGTTGTTGTTGTTGTTCATTGTTGTTGTTGTTCATTGTTGTTGTTTATTATTGATGTCGCTGTTATGGCTTACAAACCTGTTTGGGTGTCGCTGATGCGTGCACACAACGTATTTCATATAGGCGAAATATGTAGAAGAAAATGAAGTCATGTAACGACGAGGTTGTAGAGATGGTGGAGGGAAATAGCATGAAGTGTCTGTGGGAAGACGGTTGGCAAAACTGAAATTCAACAGTCAAAAAAGAAAGATAGATGTGTGTGTGTGTGTGTGTGTGTGTGTGTGTGTGTGCGCGCCCGTACGACTCTGCGCACGCATCTGTTTAACTCGCTTTCAGTGGAGGCTTAGTGTTTATCGCATATAAGCAGATTATTAAACATGCTCTGTACGGTATTACATAGGCAAACACTTGAAAGAATTAAACCTCGATAAAATAAAACCGTTGGTGCATTGCTCTTTTGGCATGTAGATAGATTGATATCTACCTAAATCTGCCTAATGGCAGATACATAGACGACTGAGATAAATACCTGCATTTTCCAACTGGACCAAGTATTTTGTGTGTTCATTTTCAAGACAGACCCATATAATTGGAAAATTGGCGCAACACGATCTTCCTAACAGCAATTTCTTCCGATAATGCTCTGTAACTGTTGTAATGGAATGTCCCACACTCCCTATCGCCTATGTGGACTGACTATATCAGTAGCTATATATAGTGAGCACAGGATATACCTGGGGATTGCTTCGGGAATTACTAGCCTGCCACCCGATTTCCTGTCTTTCAGTAGTGTATTCTCTTTTACAATAAACCTCTCTTTCTTTCATCTACGCGCGTATTGCTGTTCCTTTACTCGAGTACCACCTTTGCCTGTTTGTAACCTCTTTAAGGATACAACAGTAACAGCTGAATGAAGGAAAAATGTATTTCCGGTGAATAATAATCGTGCACCTCTTTTAATCCGGATAAACTGCAAGGCTTATTTAATCGCGTATAATTTACATTTAATAATAGTTTCATATAACTTTCTAACAGTCGATGATACTGCAGAGATAAGATTGGTGCATAATTAGTGGGTCAGGTGTGTATATTGAAATGTTATTAGGTTACTTCTGTTAATCCGACAAACCGGGTAATCCGGTACACTTCGGGGACGATATGTGCCGGAAAATAGGCGATGTATTGTTATTCTTCTTCTATGTGCGGTGTCACTTCAGGACGTTTGGCGATCATGGTCCTCCACAATTTCCTGTCGTTTTTAGCTCTTAATAACTTTTGTCTTCCAAACCTTGCTCTGCCATCGATTCGCCAGGTATGTGTGCGTTGCTTCCCTGTGACCCTCTTACTTCCAATCTTTCCTCTGAGTATCAAATTTTCCAAGCCAACTTTCCTCATCATGTTCCCCAGATATTTCCCTTTCAGATGTTAAGCATAGGTGTCCTTTTTGCTTTTTGTTGCCATTATCTCTAGAACTTCGTCATTGCTCATATATTCAGTGTATAGTATTCTCAGCATCCTGCTGTAGAACCATATTTCAGTTGCATCAAGTCTCTTCTTCAACTGTCAGGACATTGTCCAGTTCAGTACTCTTATAGTAAATGATAATACAAGGAGCAGCAAAAATACCTCCCACAATACCTCCCAGAAATACCTCTCACATAATGGTAAAGCATTAGTGTCAATGGAGATACCATTGACACTAATGCTTTACCATTTTGATGGTTGTGTTTCTGGGAGATATATATGGGATCTATTATTAGCTAATCTATGTGTATTTGCATTATTGGGACTGTTATCCATATCTTCATTGCCATATTCACAACGCTTCGGCTGTTGTACGCTCTGGCCTTCTTCAGGAGATTGGTATTTCGAACCGATTGTTCTAGTTCCACGTGCCATGCATCTTCCGGTTTTCTCAGTTATTTCCCTTTAACTCAACTCTCCAAGTTTTGGGTCACCACTGCTGTGGCCTGGTATTGGACTCACAACTCTTTGGGTCTAGTCACTTGATCTAACCAACGTCTTTCTCCACTGGGCCATGTGCCCTTGAGGATAAAGATGTTGGTTAGATCCTGTGACTATACATATTTGCGTTCAATTCCCTATTTCTCATAGGTCTAGCGTCATCTTTCTCAACGACTCTAGCTAGCGGTTTGATATTATCACATTAAGCATTCTTCTTTACAGAAAACGGGTGCCATTTTATTGCTACATGTGAGTGCATTGTCGGTCAATGGATCTGTCCTACATCTTTCGGTCTCTCCTCGCACACATACCCGTACGTGTACATTCAAGCATGCATAGATAGATAGATAGATAGATAGATAGATAGATTATTAGCTGAAGGATCGAATTATATCGAACAAAGAAAGGCAAGTACACCTACAAAGAAAAAGGAGTAGTGTTAAAAAAAAGGCAAGAGAGAAACTTTGATCGAGGTTGTCTAATAAAAAGGGTAAAAATAAGTGATTAACACAGAGAGAGAGAGGGGGGGTTAGAGAGGAAGAGAGTTAAAGAAAGAGAGAGCGAGAACGAGAAACTAATCGTCACTAAAGCGAGTGCTATTCCTAAACAGCGTCCATGTTGTTTTCCCCTCACCTGCCAACCCAGACGATCTTGCTTCTTCTTCTCGTCTGTGGTGATTAAAGTCGACTACGCCATTTGCTATATCTTGTTCTTATATTGATGGTGTCTCACTTTAAACAATCTCGCTATCTTCTGCTTACAATTCAGCCCACATTTGGCTCAAGCATCACAGCCCGCTGTCATTACCAACCTATATCCACATTTATTTCATGCTTATCTCTACCTACCTGTCTGTCCGGCGACTAACCTGACTAATAGGTTGCTCTCCCTCTCTCTCTCTCTCTCTCTCTCTCTCTCCCTCTTGTAGGCTGGCTGAAGAAGGACTTATTGTTTTTAGTCAAATCGCTCTGATGTTTAATACGTTGATAAGGGCGTTAATGGATAATAGGTTTGGTTTGGGGTTGGTTTCACTGTAACTACCTACTAATGTGATTTCTTTTTACTCGTTTATTTCTAAATATTAAAATGAGCAAACTTATTTTTATTTATTTTCTAAAAAAAAAAAAAAAAAAAAGATGTCCTTTACCGGTTTTAAAATATTGCTAGCTACAAGCGACTTTTTTTTCAGTTCAGCCACGTAGTAGCAGTTTTATTTCGAGCAAGGAAGAACTTGGGTGTTATGTTCCTGATTTTATTTATTTATTATATGATATTTCTTTTATATATATGATAGGATAAGGGACAAATAAGAAACGTTTATAAATCTAAAATATTTCGCTTTTATTAACGCTTCATCAGAGAATGAGATTGAGAAAAGAAAGAATGAGAAAAAATCTGGTATTTTTAATTTTGTATTGTTTACTTAAACAAATAAGACAAAATTAAAAATACCAGTTTTTTTTTTCTTTCTCTTTTAATATCTCATTCTCTGATGAAGCTTTAATCAAAGCGAAACATATCATCCATCGTTCTACCGAATCCCAATCCGTATCGGATATGTATTTGAATATATATATATATATATATATATATATATATATATATATATATATATATATATATATATACCCCAGATATGGGTAAATAGCAAGACAGACCGGCCTTTGGGGGGCAACTGGTCTGGAAGAAGGACAACTCTGAATTCAAAACCTGCAGCTGGTCGTTCAGGGATCTCGTGGAACGTATTGCACCAGGTCTCTGTATTCGGCCCTTCAAAAAGTGTGGTTGGTTTCTGCACAAAGCCTTCACCACTATAATCAAATCATATGTGCTGTTGTCTGGGCTGTCGGTTCCTAGGAACTGAGCTGCTTGACCCTCATACGTCGAATACAACGGGAGAATCCACCACATATTAAATATTTAATCCTTGAAAATGGCTAAAAATGTATAGCCGAAAGCGCTCGGGTAAAAAGAACATTCGGACAGTTTTTATATAATTTATCATCCGAAAAGAAAAAAAAAATTATTAGATCGCATGAGAAATTGTATAAAAAACTAAATAAAAGTACCCTGTCTGTCGTTTTCAATGAAATGTGCATGAAAGAAGGATTGCTGCCTAAATACACACACACACACACACACACACACACACACATACATTATAGATAGATAGATAGATAGATAGATAGATAGGAAAGTAAAATAGATAGATAAATAGATAGGTAGATAACAAATGTTGATATTTCAATAGATAGATAGATAACGAAGATACTGGCATAGATAGATAGATAGATAGATAGATAGATAGATAGATAGATAGATAGATAGATAGATAGGAAAAGAGTTCGATAGATAGATAGATAGATAGATAGATAGATAGATAGATAGGAAGAGAGTTCGATAGATAGATAGATAGATAGGAAGAGAGCTCGATAGATAGATAGACAGACAGATAGATAGATAGATAGATAGATAGATAGATGAAAGACTATATAAGGTTTGTATAATTATGCAAAATGTAAATTTTACAGCTGTTTAAATTTTCGCAGCCATAAAGAGGGCATTTCTTTCAGCGGCATCTACGTGTCCGAATGGAAATGGAGCTGTGTGATGTGATTGAGCCGAATATACAAAGTGGGTGTGAGAAAGCTTTCAGCTCGTTCCTTTTCACTTTTGTGTGTGTGTGCTTGTGCTCGTGCATGTGTATATGTGTTCGCGCACGCCAGCTTATGCGTGTGCGTGAACTTTTAAGCAATCTATATATATTAAAGCGCAAGCGATATCGGATCCAGCCGTGTGGTTTGTCTGTGCGCATGCGCGCTGGGTACCTTGGCTTTCATGGTATATTATTTACACAAACAAGTAAATAAAATGTTGACAAAGTGGTACAGCTTGTTGTTGTTAATATTGGTGTCGCTGTAATGGCAATCTTTTTATACCAATCCAATTTATACACACACACACACACACATACATATATATATATATATATATATATATATATATATATATATATATATATATATATATATATATATATATATGTTATATATATATAAATGATGTTACTCGTTTGGAAAAACCTTGGATAGCTCAATTTGCAGGAGAACAAATCGGTACCCGAGAAAAATGAGGAATAAAAAAGAAAGAACCAAGAACATTAAACCAAGGTGAAAACAATCGTCCGGTGTTCAAGATCCGAGTCCAAAGAAAAAAAAAATACACTAAGTAGAGCAAACTAACCCTAAGGAGCCATATATATATATATATATATATATATATATATATATATATTTTATATATATATATATATATATATATATATATATATATATATTTATATTTTTATATATATATATATATGATTATATTTTATATATATATATATATATATATATATATATATATATATATATATATATATATATATATGATTTATATTTTATCATATATATATATGTATGTGGGTGTGTGATTTATATTTTATCATATATATATATATATATATATATCATAGCTGGCCACTCACACGAAGCCCGTGTACAAGAAATGTAAGAGACCAATTGTACTTGAGTGGGTCATTCTAACGAATTAGCGAGTACATCGGCAATACATACAGATATCCAGCATTTCTTTCTGCTTATATCTCGAGTTCATTCTTAAAGGCTGTTGTAAAAGTTAGTGTAAATAGGGTTGAGTTGAATAGATTTGTTGATTGTCGTATCTCTTTTATCGATATTCAATCTTGGTGTGGGCAAATTCTTTTCGGTAAAGATTTATCGTTCCAACAACATTGTTTTAATAGCGTTAACTTCAATGTCCATTAAACAGTTTGAGTTTTGCTTGGAGATACTTCCAGGATGTTATTCAGATGTATTTCTGAGTCAGGATTTCAAAAAACTTTACAATAGAGTTACCTTAACATACAATGGGAAAGTATTTTGTTATTTATAGACGAAGTAATTTCTTTGTCGGTACACCAGCATTGTTTGTAAACTTAAAAGTCAGAGCGTCGCCCAATTGCTGTAAAAGCAATGATTGCAAATTTATCGATCAAGAAACTCAAAGGCTCTTAAAAGGAGGCATTATAGTTTTGTTTTGTTTTTGTTTTGTTTTTTATAGTAAGGTTTACTCTGTACAAGGCCTGGGAACCACTCGAGATAGAGGGTTATAGAGTAAGAGAGACAGTTTATGCAGATATGTAGGGAAGATAACTTTTAACTCTAGACTTGAACTGGTTTAGATTGTTGTGATCGGGAAAACATCCTCTTGGGAGTCGGTTCCACAGGGCAGTGGTTCGCGTGAACTTCGAGTGAAACTTACTTCTTACCAATGGAATACGAAGAGAATGCGCGTAATATGTCAGGTTCTAGCCATGGGGATTAGAACTGATGAATCTAGTTCGTCTAAGCACTTTCCATGGAAGTAGCAACAGAGCAGTGAGAGGCTTGTAATATTTCGTCTGTGAGGAAAGGGGTTGCAGGGTGGAAAATAATTTGTCACCCACAAGGACGCGGAAACGCTTTTGGACTCTATCAAGACTGGAAAGTGTGGACTGTGCAGCTCCGCACCAAATATAACATCAGTACTCCATTTTAGGTCTTATTTGGCTCTTATAAAGGTAAAAGATAGCACGTGGAGCCAGGTATTTAGTGAAGAGGTACAGGAAATCGGCCATTTTTTCTGTATCTTTAGCGATAGATTATATATATATATATATATATATATATATATATATATATATATATATATATTAAGGATTCACCCCAAGCAAGGCGGGAAGCCACTAGCACGCAAGGGGTTACAGTGAGTTGGAGCGAGAGCAAAAAGGAGTGATAGAGGAAAGGATGAAGAGAAGGTTAGGGGATAGATCAGGGCATCTGGAGACATCGATTGACATTACATTTGAATAGTTGGAGATTATAGCTATCAGGAAAACAAGAAATAGGGAGGGAGTTCCACAGGCAAGAAGTACGAGACATGAAGCTATTGGAGTTGAAGAGACGGCTACATTTAACAGTTTCGACAGTGAAAGGGTGAGAGCGAGATGCCAGCCTAGTTGAACGCTTAAATTCATGAAGTCTGGGAACCAGCGAAAGCAGCTCATCGGACCAGTTACCATGAAAGTATTTGTAAAAAAGACAAAAGGAGGCGACGGTACGTCTGTGAGAGAGTGACTGCAGACGAGATGCCAGATCAGGGCCAGTTATATTGCATATCCGTCTTTGGATCTTATCACGGACCTTGAGACAAACAGAAGGGGTTCCAGACCATATAGAGCAGCAATGTGCCAGTTCCACTTGAGGTTTGGGTTCAGTTTAAGGCCCAGTAGATACTCAAGGCACAGGGCCTCCCTGAGGGAACACCCATTCATCGTGACTGGTGGTCGTTCTAGGCCCGATCCGAGTAGTTTGGTTTTCAAGGCATTGAATGTAACCAGCCAATTTATTTTTCCTTCAGCGAGCTGTTAGAGCTCGATCAGAGGAGAGATCAGCTGCCAATCTTTGATTATCTAGTGTTTTGGAGGTGCAACCATACACCGTTGTATCAGCAGCATAGATACATTATTTACATTATTCAGACTATTGTCCTCATCATTGTCGCCATATTTATTACAACGTTTCGGCTGTTGTACGCTCCGGCCTTCTTCAGGCTGTTTGAATGTCGAACTGATCCCTTTATTTCGCTAACTGGGGTAGACTGTTCTAGTTCCACGTGCCATGTTTTAAATGGATATCAGTTATCTGTTATCTCCTATTAATTCCCCTCTCGAAGTTCTCCCCTGCATTAAACGGGTATTGAACTCACACTCTTTGGGTCCTTTTACTGGATCTAACCAACGCCTTTATCCACTGTGCCATGTGTCCTTGAGAACATCTGTAAATATATGAATTTCTGTGTATTATAAACTTAATGTTTTCAGCTACCATTTTTTGTGCTCATATTGTAATTTTTTCTGTTATCAAATCATATTTTTACCAGAGCTCATATTGCAATTTTTGTTGTTATCGCTTTTCTCTGGCACTCCTTATTATTGGTTCCCATATTGTATACATTTCTATGCTTGGTCGGCTCAGAAATTCATATACAGATGTCCTCAAGGGCACATGGCACAGTGACAGGACCCAAAGAGTTTGAGTTCAATACCCAGTTAAGGCAGTGGAGAACTTTCAGAGGGAAATTAACAGGAGATGACTGATAACTGACGTCCGTTAAACATGGCACGTGGAACTAGAACAGTATACCACAGTGCGCGAAATAAACGGTTCAGTTTGACACTCCAACCACCCGAAGAAGGCCGGGGTGTTTTGAGGAGCGTGGAACCACCTTTTAATTGCTGGTGTTCCCAGGTACACCCTGACCCGGGTAGTAGCACCTGTTAGGGTCCCAGCTATGGGCTAATAGCTAACACCCAAACTTGGGTCAAAACACTATGAAAGTGTAAATTAGGTTTTAATACCAGAAACACTTTCTAAAGAATTATTACCAGCAATACATTTTTTTTAAAAAAAAGAAAGAAAAAAATTACCAGCAATAAAAATTTTGTCGGCATTAAATAATCCATTGAGGTTGATATGCCGTAAAACAAACCAAACAAAAAATATTACCAGCAATAAAATTTTGTCGGCATTAAATAAGCCATTGAGGTTGATATGCTGTAAAACAAACCAAACCAAAAATATTACCAGCAATAAAAATTTTGTCGGCATTAAATAAGCCATTGAGGTTGATATGCTGTAAAACAAAGCAAACCAAAAATATTACCAGCAATACAAATCTTGTAGGCATTAAATAACCCATTGAGGTTGATATGACGTAAAACAAACCAAAAATATTACCAGCAATAAAAATTTTGTCGGCATTAAATAAGCCATTGAGGTTGATACGCCGTAAAACAAACCAAACCAAACCAAACTTCCCTCGAGTCAGTAACACAACATTATAATGGCGTTGCCGAGATCTACGGAACCGAACGAACAATTATCACTTGATAATTATGAATACGCCCAAGCGTGGTTTAGAATACTAGCAGTTAAAGCTAGAACAAAAAGGCTAAAGGATTCAAAATCGATCGGAGGAAAAAACAAAATAACGAACCTCTTGTTTGCCAACTGCTGATTGTGAGGCCATTATAAAATTATCAGCAATTGCACAACCAAGAGAGTTGGAGGAAATGACGTTCGATGATATAAGTCAACTAATAGTGAAAAACATAACACCCAAGAAAAAATTAGTGAATGCAGAGAGAGCTAAGTTTTTGAATATTTATCAAAAAATGAATGAACCAGTTATTGAATATGTTCTTCGTTTAAAACAGACCGCTAAATATTGTTAATTTGAGAAACTGGGATCAGAAAAACAGTCAGTCGAAAAGGATTTGATCCAAATGAAATTATAAATGGCCTTCAAAATGAGGAGTTTTGGCAAACGACTCTAATGTATTTACATCTGGGAAAGACGTCACTAGAACAGTGTTTCGAATTTGTTCAGCAACAAGTATCAATTAGAAAGTTTAACAGAACAAATGTTACGGATCTATTAGAGGAAATGGACACATACACGACAAAGAAAAAAATATAAAACAAGACATAAAACCTCTTCGGTACTTATGAAGTCACAAAGACTATAATTAGCTACGGCTATATTCCATCAGGTAGTTGAGTACATACTACTTCCCGTGGTCAGCAACACTACATTACAAATAAAAAGGCAATGTTCCTACTGTTTCGGTGGAACGAGTCTATCTGCAATTGATTAAATCTGACTATCACTCTCACGTTTTTCATCGGACGAGAGAAGCAGCAATTATATTTGTCAAAGAACGTAAGCGAACAGAAATAAATTCGACGCTCTTTAGCGTAGAAATCTGAACTTGGTCGTAGACAGTGTTGAGTTGAAACCAGAGTTTTCAACTCAACTCTGTCTACAACCAGAGTTTTCAACTCAAACCCCAATAAAGAAAAAATATCCCATTCTCTTGGCAAGCTTCGGCAATTTTATCGTAAAAGAAAATCAGATAAAGTCCCAGCTTTGTTTCTTCAACATAGCGCGCAACGACTCATAACTTTCAAAGATTTGCTGTGAGATTTATGCATATTTAATTAGATAATTAAATAGGCTGTCCATCAGAATCAAGCATTAGGAACAAAAGTTGTTTCTTAATTTTAAATTACATTTAAAATACGGGCCTATTCGGCATCAAGTTAAACTACAACAAAAACAGACATAAGTACTCGAGCATAAGTCGATATAAGGCCGACATTTAATTTTTGGTTAAAAATCATCTATTAATATAAAACATAAAGTGACGTTAATTTCTGTCTGAATGTATATAAAGTTTTTTTGTGAGAATTTAAAATATAATCAAGGTGCAGTATATTTAATGTCATATAAAATACACGCGAATTTAAAAAAAAAAGAAAGAATTAAATCTTTTCTTCGACCGTCCAAAAAATGAAGGTCTGTGAATGTGAAGCGCCAAAATCATTTATTATTTCAGCCCTGAAACATTGCAAAAATACAAACTTCAGAAAAATACTCTATATTTCCACTGAATTATTTATCCAATTTAGAAAGAAATTATTTATCCAATTTAGAAAGAAATTATTTATCCAATTTAGAAAGAAATTCGTGTAATACGATTGTCCCTTTTTAGTTGCTGTAATCGATGTCTTTTTTTAAGGATGTTTTTCCTTTTAAAAGTTTTATGGTCACATCACATTGAAACACCGGTTTCCGTACGAACACAAAGGTTAAGCAACGTCGAGCCTGGTCAGTACCTAGATCGGTGACCGATTGGGAATACCAAGTGTTGAAAACTTTGATGTGCAGTTGGTCTAATGGATAATGGTTCGGAATGTTTAATCAGAGAGCCGATTTCCAATTTCAGTTGTATTGGTTATATTTACTTACAAGCAAAATAGCCCTTGGGAAAGATATGAATTCGCCTATTCTCCCCCAACTATGGGTTAATTAGTAAGACTTATATAACTAAATCATTATTATCTCAAAAAGTGTTTTTTAATCTAAAAATATTTTCTAGCTTTAAATAACCCACAAAGGGTTGATAACTATCAACAAAAAATAAATCAAAACACCATTTTGAATTTTGGTATTTTTATTAAAATGAAAAAAAGAAAAGTACAAAAAGAAAGCAGCTGATGTAACATAGTTTTTGTCAGTTTTTATTATGCAAATCAGTTTTCATTATAAAATTAGTATTTTTCATTTTATAGTATATGTGTATATATATTTTATTGTATATATATTTTATTGTATATGTGTATATATATATTATTGTATATATTTTTATTGTTTATGTGTATATATATTTTATTGTATATATATTTTTATTGTAGATGTGTATATATATTTTATTGTATATATATTTTATTGTATATGTGTATATATTTTTTATTATATTTATATTTTATTGTATATGTGTATATATATTTTACTGTATATGTGTATATATATTTTATTGTATATATATTTTATTGTATATGTGTATATACATTTTATTGTATATATATATTATTGTGTATGCGTATATATATTTTATTGTATATATATATTATTGTATATGTGTATACATAAAACTATGGATAGTGGATATTGATATTATTCTATTAATAATCTTATTATAACATATTATGTTTAAGCTCTGTCGGCTTTGGCATTATGACCCCAGTTTATTTTATATTCTTTTAACCATTTTAATATATATATATATATATATATATATATATATATATATATATATATATATATATATATATATATATAGCGTTTCACCCCAAGCAAGGCGAGAAGACACTAGGACGCAAGGAACTGACTGACGGGTTCACTGACTGAGATATGACATGAGAAAAAGACCAACGTATTAAGGAGATAGAACAATAAAAGAACAGGATTTAATTTACACTTTTGAAGATGAAATTTGACTAGAAACAAAGGAACCGGACGAGAATCTCACAAGCGAGAAGTATGAGAAGCGTTAGCTTAGAATTTACGGTTCAATAAAACCATTTCAACTGTAAAATGCGGAGAGCTTACTATCAATCTAATACTGCGCGTAAATTCGTAAAGTTGAGGTAGCAAAATGGAAAGCTGGTTTTAAGAATATCACAAAAAAGAAATTTGAGAAAGATTAAAAGAGATATAAGCAGAAAAATGGATTGAACAGCAGAAAGCAGTTGATGCAAATCTAAACAGAGAAGAGATAAAGAATATGAAGGACGCATCCATACTCTCACCTTCAAAGCTCAATTTACATATTTCTCTTTGTGAGGTTTACTTCAGTAAACATCAGAATGAGAAACTAATCTTCTATAGGATGCATAAAGTTTTATTGCAATCTTCTTCTATTCACCATATCCCTCCAGTACGCGACTCTCCACGACTACCTCCATTTTGTTACTTTAATTTTAACACTTTACTATAACCGCTCTGTCCACTCACACAACTTTATTAAGTAATTCACTCGCTGCTTTCCCTTGCTTCTTTTGCTTTCAATATCTCCTGTGAGTGTTAAATTCTCTATACCCTCTTTTCATTACACGTTTCAGAAATTTCAGTTGTATCTTTCTGATTGTATAAGTACCTGACACCTCATTAAGTCCTCTACCTTTACAAGAGCCAGATCAGGCTCAAAATGGAGTACTGTTTTCATATTTGGGAGGAAATTGCCCAGACCTTACCCTCCAGCTTTGATAGAGTCAAAAAGCTTCGAGTCCATGTGGGTGACGAATTATTCTCCACCCTCAAACCTGTGACAAGCCTCTCGCTGCTCTATCGCTATTTCCACGGAAAGAGATCGGACTACATTCCCTGATTCTGCCAGTTCAGACCTTCATGGCAGGGAAAACGCCATGCCACTTACACAGTAGCAAACCACCGACATTCCCTCCGTATTCCATCGATTAGAAATAAATTCCACTCGAACAGCTTCTTCCCGTGAACCATTGCCCTGTGAAACCGACTCCCAAAAGGATATTTCCCCGATCGCTACAATTTTAACCTGTTCAAATTTAGGGTTAACTGTTACCTTCCTCTTCTATCTACATAAATTGCCTCTTAATGTAAGCCTCTACCTTGAGTGGCCCCCCGGGCCATGTACAGAGTGAACCTTACTGCAAAATACATAAATAAATAAATGCCAAAGTCATGGTTTTGTCGATTAAGAAAATATGAAGCTGAAAGTTGGTACCCTTATAATTTTCTATCTCGATAAACTATTTTGGTCTTCATTTTACCGTTGTTTCAAATAGTTAAGATGCTATGGGTAATTAAAAATTGTTTTTGTACTACAGAGGAACTTCAGTTCACGAATTTAATTCATTTCTGAAGGCCGTTCGTAACCCGAAATATTCGTAAACCGAAACTATTTTTCCAATAGGAATCAATGTAAATGAAAAACAAAAATCAAAGTACAATAAAATTGGAAAAGAAAAATACGACACAACACACGAATGTATACAACACGGCGGTCCACTCAGAAATGATTTCGTTCGGGTTGACTCGGTTCGGCAATGTTGTTCGAGAACCGAAATTTTCTTCGATAACCGAGGCATTTTCATCTCCAATTTTCTGTTCGAAAAACGATTTCTACGACATGTGAGACGCTCGATAACCGAGATTGCCCTCTAAAAAAAAATTTAACTGGACAAAGATAGTAAACCAAGGCCGTTGAAATAAGAATTCCACTAGATTGTTTTAGTTTCAAAAATATCAAGACAAATTAATGAAAACGCATCGCATTTTGTTCATGTTAAGCAATTTTATCAATACTTAGAAATAGGATCAAATCAGGATCATTACTAAGGCAAAAATCACATTAAGAATATTCTTAAATAAAATAAACATGGATATTTAAGTTTAGTTTATATTTAGTCAATACGTTCAGTGATAAGTCTGTATTTTGGTTTGAACCGCTTTTCATAATTTAATACTTCATTACTGAGATGAATAATTATCAATATACTTTTATTATTATTATTGTTGTTGTTGTTGTGGGACAGACTGGGTTATATAACCGGTGTATGAGAAGTAAAAACTCTGAATTCAAAATCTCTAACTATGGGTAAATAATAGGGCAGTCAGGGGGTCTGTAGCCATGGTTAGCAACCAGATTAGGCGAATGGAAACTGAATTTAAATTTCGAGACAGTCCGCTGTCATGGTTCAGTTTTGTCCTGGCAACTCCTGCAACAACGCCAGTTGCCAAGCTGTATTAGCTTCCGTCTTTCCCTTGGATAACATCGGTGGTGTGGAGAAGGTAAGATGTGGTGTATGGGCAACTTCAATGATTTTGAAGAAAGCCTTACACTTTGCGCGGGGATCCATGCTCTCTCGAAACAGACGGATGCTGTATTATTATTATTATTATTATAAAAAAATTTGTTGACTTTTATTTGTTTTATAATCCCATGCCAGGTCATAACCTTTGACATAGATCAAGCGAAGAATGTGATGTTTTGCTGTTTTCACTTAATTAAACAAAAGACATCTATTAACAAAAAAAAAAAATAATTAGACAAAGCTCTTCACAGGATATGGGCTACGCTTGTTGGAACTATTTTTGGATCTCCTGGAGAGATGGTGTACCAAGGATTGTGTTGATTTGTTGTTGAGTTCCTTTATTTATCAAACCCCAAAGCTCCAACCATAACAGGAATAGTTTCAGTTTTATTGTACCTCATTTTTTCTATTTCCATTTCCAGATTTTTGGATTTGCTTATTTTTTCAAAAGTCTCTGTAGAAATGTTTTTGTCGTTTGGTACGCTCATGTCAATCAGTTTGCAAAGCTTTTCTTTTCTGTCCTTGATAATGTCTGGATGATTTGCTTGTATTATTTGATAGAAAAATCCCAGAGGATGGCATCATCTGTTCCCTAAATTACAGATTCAGGGTGATGGTCTTACCAATTTGCAATTGGAAGATCTGTCATCACTACCGGATTTTTATTCCGTTGTCATGACAGGTATTGACCTACTATGTCGTTACTGATTTTGTGCTCATTGGATGTAATAATAGTTTTAATCAACCTACATTTTAGGTCAGTACTATTATACAAGATATTAGCTTGGTAGTTGTGTGTAAGCGGACTATGGTACTCTGCAGCATGAAAGCACCCTTCAGTCTCAACTTTAAGTCCTGAAGTGAGTAGCTAAGTAGTGGGCTGCGAATTGATCTACATCAGCATTTTTACTTCGGTGAAGGAAATGGCGGAAAAGGCTTTTGGCTCCAGCTTTCTTGTTTACTTTTGGCCTAACATTGTCGCTAATTGTTTTAGTTTTCTTGCTGATTTTCTAGCAGTTGTATCTACTTCGTCGCCATCTTCACGATTTAACCCAAATTCTCTTGCATATTTATCAGTTTCTTTTAATACAGAGAAAAGCTTTTTTTTTAAATTTTCCCATGCTCCATTACGAGTTGTAATCTTGTACAGCTACAAAAAGTCCCATTGTTGAAATTATGTAAGACAATTCCAGTTGAATCATGGCCCTACCACATAGTACCTTGGAAGATACAGTCAACAATTGCCTTAGGGTGGTACATTCTGTTACATTTGATGTGTTTGCGAATTCTTGCATCAATTTTCTCGAGTTCCTTTAAGTTCCAATGTATTATTATTATTATTATTATTATTATTATTTTCTATTATTTTCTTTGATTTCTGGCGTTTACACATTTCTTTCCGGGTCCTGCCCAGGGACCTAAGGTTAGAAATGGCATCATGACACTTTCCACTGACAAAAAAAAAAAAATACATAGATAAAGCCCTTCGTAAAGTGTGGGCTGTACTTGTCAGAACAATTTTTTTGTATCTCCTTGAGGCATGGACTTCCAGGAATCCCTTCAATTAGTCTACTGCAATCTTTTCCAACCAGTCTTAGGGATCCAACTACAACAGGGATTGTTGATGTTCCCATATGCCACATTTTCGAGATTTCTATTTCAAGATCCTTCTATTTTGACAGCTTTTTGAATATCTTCAAAGATACATTGCAGTCAGCAGGGACTGCCATATCAACAAGGAGGCACTGTTTTTGTTTGTGGTGTTTAATAACAATTTATTATTATTAAAGACCACAAACAAAAACGGCGCCTCCTTGTTGATGTGTTTATACATACGTACATAGGTCCACATATCGTCCGACTCACATTCATCAGCGGTCTTTTGAATGGATTGTTTAGGATTGGGTTTCTGGTTCCTTAATAATAAATTTTCTCATATTCTCTAATACCCAATAACTCCTTGCGTCCTACCGGCTTTATTGCCTTGCTTGAAGTGGAATTATATATATATATATATATATATATATATATATATATATATATATATATATATATATAAAAGACCTGTCTCATTAGATAATGTAGACAAGTTTTGTCTACTTATTTTAATATGATCCTCTGAGTATATTTGCATCCTAAAATTTAAAAATTGTACAGTACATAAGTTTAGCATTTTTCACTTCACAAATAAAAAAAATAATTTTCAGATAAACACAACAAATTTGAATTAAATAAAACAAGACCTTGAAGATGACAGTTTGCTAATGTCGAAAGTACTCAGAATAGATGAATACGCATCAATATATATATATATATATATATATATATATATATATATATATATTTTTGTTTTTTCAGAAGGCCACAGAGCTTCCGAAACGTATCCAGTTATGTTCACAAGTTAGCATCGGTCTAATCGGGTATATATTTCAAAACTTGATTATAAGAAATACGAATGAGAATACTTATAAATGTGTTTTAGTCATTTATTATTTACTAATTTTAACTCACTCTGGCCAGGATACTGAGGTACTCAGTAAATATCGAATTCCCGGTCGAAGCAATATCGTTTGAAAGGCATGTTTGCTAACCTTGACGCCATGCAAGGTTTTCTGTTCTCTGCATTATGCATTAAGATAAGTATTCGCTCTCTGCTGAGTAGATAAATATATCACGTGGGTATTATTAATTAACTGAAGCATTAACTATACTGTCATCAACAGATATGAAAAGATGAAATCAGAAACGGACAAACGGAAAGAAATAGAGAGATTGAGATAATGGAAGATTGATAGATATAGACTGGGCGTGTAGATATGAAAATGTGAAGCAAAGAATTGGAAAGGAATCACCTGGAATAGGTAGATATTAACACATTCAAATAAACTGGTTCATACGAACAAAGAATAGTCGCTCCATAAACTGATTTAGACTAATTGTAGCAAAACAAATAAATAAATAAATAAATGAGGGGAGTAAAATAAATAAAAAAAAAAACAAGTGCGGCGTTCGCCGACAAACCGACTCTTTTTTTTCTTCTTCACTTGCTTCAAGGAAATAGATTCTGGGGATCTATTTCTTCACCACCATTTTTCAGTTGACAAAGTCAGTCGCAGCCCCTTCACCTTCTTCTTCCTGTCAATCCAATCGTCAGACGCAAATGTAATCCGACCCCCCCCCCCGCACAAAAAAACATGCCCCCGTCGCATTTAGCATCTCGCTTTTTATGCCTTCTCAAACAGGCCAAAATTTGCATATGTGCAAATCCCGTCTTATGGTGACGAGAGAAGCACTCATAAATTGCAACCTCCAGAGCTGCCATATTTTCTTTTTTTCAGCACTTTGCATGCAAGACACATCCGAGCTCGTTTCTCGGGGTAAGTTGTTTCTTTCGTCGCAACACCTATTACGACTACACTAATCCAGTGGCTTCCAAATGGTGCAGCATGCCTCATAGGTACGGCGGAAGAGGATAGCAGGTGAGGCGGAAGAGGATAGCAGGTGAGGCAGAAGAGGATAGCCGGTGAGGCGGAAGAGGATAGCAGGTGAGGCGCAAGGGAATAGCAGGTGAGGCAGAATGATTAAAAGACAATTTAAAGATTTAGAAAGAGTTTTAAAAAATTAATGTCAAAAACAAATATGATTTCAAAATTTAAAATATTATTATGGATTACTTGTAATTGCATGCATGAGACCGAGTATAAATAATTATAAATAATTATTTACCGATTTTTATCATCGTAATAGTTTTACATTATATCAAGCATTAAGAATATAGTTAACTATTGTCCGCAAATTGGAGAAGAGAGTTATCACTGATAATGCACGGACTTTGAATCCGCGGTTATCTCCCTTTAACCCACTCTCCGTTTTTTTTTTTTTTTTTTTTTATATATACTTTTATTTTTTTCACTGTTGCTTCCTGTAAAGTATTCCACTTTGGATTCTTGATTTATTTCAATGTTTCATGTGTGTTTTTACTCTCCTCAGATTACAGAACATATCGATACCGTACAGTATGCAGTGCGATAAATACCAAAATTAACATTTTGGTGTTTATAGGTCTTCAAATCTACCAACCCACCCCATCTAGCAAAATTATTTTTCTGAAATTTTTATCTACTTAGTTTAGTATCTTTAACAATAGAATGTCCCAATCCTGGAATTGGCTATTCTACGACAAAGTACGTAAATAAATATTTGTAGTTACTGCTTTTCTGATGTAAAATTCTCCACAGTTAACCAGATGGTGCCTTGATTTATATGGTCAAATATTGACCTGAATTTTTAAAAAATGCAGAGTTGTGTCCTTTGCAAATTAACTGATTAATTTATGAAAAATATATATACATTTAAGAAGGAGAAAGTATATATATATGTGTGTGTGTGTGTATGAAAGATACATATGCAACATTTAACGAGAGGAAAAATTATATACACGAGGGGATACTGAAAAGTTCTCAGCTCCACTACCTTTTCCAAAAACTGACCAAATAACCAAACATCAGATTTCGACCAGGTAAAGCGTCTTGTCCATCCACGTCAAGAATTTTTCAGACTCCCCCCCCTCGTGAACATATAAACGCAGTTTCTCCAGAATTTATGAAGCTATTTTGAATATCTCAAGAATAAGCTGTGAACCATTAATGTAGCTTGTTCACTAATCTGATTGGTTCTTAATGTGCATGCGTGAACATACACTCTACAATATGATTACTCAGTCAGGAATAAGACGCCACTGACTTAACTTGGATATTCTATGACCGTCGCATTCACAGCACAGCGAATATATTCTTCAAGTTTTGTACAGAATCTTTTGATAAAAAACATGACATCACCTAGTTATGTCTGTTCCAGCTACCCCCACCCAACGCACACACACACACCTACAGTCCATATTTCAGCGACTTCTGTTTTTCACAAAGATAAAATTCCTGAAAAATATAGTGAAACGCGATCAAGATGATGGCCATCCCGAAAGAAAAATTTGCAGGTTTTAAAATTGGAAGGAATATTGGGAAAATTGTATAAAGTCGAAAAAGCGATTACTTTGAAGTGGACTAAGGCACTACTGTCCGAATTAGGCTAGTTTTTCCTTAATATTAAATGACTGGCGTTTACTTTCCCGGCAGAGCTCATAGGGAAAGCAGAAAATAAATAAATTAAAAGGAAATAAAGAAAAAAAAAACAGATAAATACAAAAGAAAAAGAAAAACGAAGAAAATATAAAACCCAAAAGGAATGGAAATCAAAAACTGTAATCAGGAAAATTAAATAATTGGATGGAATACAAAAGAAGGTAAGAAAAATAAATAAATAAGGAAAAGTGCTATTTATAAAACAAGCTCGATAAAAAAAAAATGGCGGCATTCATGTGATGAATTCATACAATTAAAAGTGACATCGGATAAATTGGTCACTAAATGACGTTCATTGGTTGTCGTCCAGAGTTGCCTCCATTTGCTTTCTCAATAGATGACAGAACTGATTAGACGTAAACTGAGACACAAAGGCGATCGCCTACACACACACACACAAGACACATAAAGAGAAAACTCTTATATAAACGTTATATTTAATGGTTACACGTGTTTGAGTTGCTATGCCAAATTTTTGTATTATATTAAACAGTGGAATTAATAACCAACGGCCTAAATTGTGAAGTCCTACTAAAGAAAAACTGTGTCCACAACAAGGAAGCAAACGTGCATTCCTTTTTCTCAACGGGGGAACAACTTTTTAGCCAAACTATGCCGCTATCTGTTGGCCTTTTTTTTTAACAGGGGAACTACTTTTAGCCAAACTATGCATCTATCTATTGGCCTTTTACTCAACAGGGGAACTACTTTTTAGCCAAACTATGCCGCTATCTATTGGCCTTTTACTCAACAGGGGAACTACTTTTTTACCAAACTATGCCGCTATCTATTGGCCTTTTACTCAACAGGGGAACTACTTTTTAGCCAAACTATGCCGCTATCTATTGGCCTTTTACTCAACAGGGGAACTACTTCTTAGCCAAATTATGCCGCTATCTATTGGCCTTTTACTCAACAGGGGAACTATTTTTTAGCCAAACTATGCCGCTATCTATTGGCATTTTTCTCAACAGTTAAAGTTTTAATTCTGACCTTATCCCTCACTCCACTTTAACTTACGAAAAGTGGTAAAGATTTGTCTTTTAAATTTCCCTAATAAATCATTTTTACCACAAGTTATCTACCATCACCTGAAGAAGTACCATCTTAGTATCGAAACATGAAATTATTATAATATAAATAAAAAATATTATAATGGTATTTTGCTCTACTTTGTGTTGAGCACTTTTTAAAAAATAAATGCTACGACCTGTGAATTTTTTCCCACCTGTTTTTTCTCTCATTTCTTGAATTTATAGATCTGAGTAGTTGGGTCGTTATTACGAACCCAATGAAATAAATTATAACCATGAAATTTTAGTGTTCGAGCCTTTTATATATATATATATATATATATATATATAAAGAGAGAGAGAGAGAGAGAGAGAGAGAGAGAGAGAGAAAAGAGAGAAGTCGGTCGGTCGGTCAGTATTCTGATGCTTAGTCAATTAAATACTGATATTTTGGGAAAGATATATATATATATATATATATATATATATATATTTTATGAAAATATGTATTATATATATATATATATATATATATATATATATATATATATATATATATATATATATAAATATATAGCTACCTCCAAAGAAAATTTATCTAAGGTTCGAAATGTGTTCTTAAAAATTAAAAAAATATCGAAACTTTTATTTTAGTTTTAATTTCATACTAATAGATTAAATATAATACTTAAAATAAGCAAAATAATTTGCTGTATTTCAAACTGAATTTAAATTGATTGTAATTATTTTTTATTATCAGTAAAAACGCTTAAATCGTTCATACTGACAAATCTGTCGACACAACGTAATTCTCTTTATTAAAAAAATCTTTCAAAATTTTTTTCTGAATCTTTATTTGAGGAAGATTATCTGATTTAAAGTTTAATTAATCCGATTTGAATCAAGTATTACTTTAGGTTAAAATATCGCAGAAAAGCTTTTTTTTAACACGGAGGTAGTTGCTTTTATGATGTGTTGACAATTTTCTCGATAGACTTATGTTTAGGAATTTTTTCTAATGGGAACATATAACTGCAACAGTTACTTAACGAATATAAAGTGAACGCCTTTTATATATGTTTTAACTAGCCAGCATCTTAAAAAATTAAGACAACTTTCCAAACAATCTAATATTTTATTGAATTTTCGGTAGTTTGGCTTTATAGTCTAACTTACAAAGATACTTATTGTGGAAATGCTAGAAAATTATGAAACTTTCCATTTATGATAAGTAAATACAGTCCTAATTTAATAACGGTTTCACTTGACTACTACAAATTAATACAGAATTTTAAAAGTTTATAAATTAATATAATTAAAATTTTAAAAAGTGAAAACACTTCTTGTAAAAATTCATTATTCATCCAAAAAGATTTTCTTAAGACATAATATATTTTATACTCATAAAACAATTAAAAGCTTTTCTAATTAAATAATTTCTTAGTGTTATTGCATTTTTATTATACGATTCAGAACAGATTTTCTGTAAATAGATGTACTATTTGACAAAAAAATTGATGATCTAAATTCTCCAAGGACTTGTCCTTATAACTAATATAAGCATTAAGCGCTACAAAGATTTTCTCGAAATTTCATGAAAGTGGAGGATAACAGATGTAAAATAATATTTTTACAAAGATTTTCTAAAAAGAAATATTTAAAAAATATCGGTAGATTGAATTCCTTGTTAAAAGTTAAGAATAAAATAAGAACTGCCGCTGCTAACAAATCTTTTCTTCATTTGTGCTTGACTAATAAAATCTGTCCCCCTTTTATTTCCTTTAGAATTAAAAGGGCCAATTTACTTCCTGAACAGAAAATTGAGGAAGCTTTTATTACTAATTTTATAGCTAAGCTTTCTCATAGTCTTGCCAATTAATGTAAGAGATACTATCAATTATGGAGTATTACAATGGGCAGACTTTCCTATTTTGATAAGATTCGTTTTGTCTGTTATGCAGTACTTATTCACGAATGTAGTCGTTCTCGACTTACGATTAAACATCAGAATAAGTTGCAACATTTAATTTATAAAAAAAATTGGATGTTCTGCTAATCCTAGTATTGGTCAAAATGTCTTGAATCTGTCTTCATACCAGTTGTCTGAGTTTGAACTATCAATCCTCTCGCACGGACTGGATTTTTGTATTCCCCCCTCACGTATTAAGCGAGATGAGGTGTATTCGGAGTTTGAGGTTTTGTTTACGCAGCTAGCTAAACTCCAACCTGAATTTGCTAGTAAAGTCAGCGACCTCAAGGCAAAGCTGAATAATATAGCACATTGTAACGCAAGTACACCTGTTTCCCATAATGAATTGAAGTGGAACGAGGAGCAATTTCATGTAATTAAAACACTTCGTAATAATAAAGCTTTGGTAATTACAAAACCCGACAAAGGTTCTGGCGTCGTCATCCTTGACTATCATGATTATGTTAACAAGATGATAATTCTTGGGGATTCCTCTAAATTTGTCCGATTAGGCCCAATAGATAAATTTCATTCTACATTATCTATTGAGGCCAAGTTCCAAAAACGTCTGGTTAAGTGGGTAAAAAGTGGAAAATTGCCCACTGATATTTCAAATTTGATTAGATCCTCGGGCTTCATTCGTCCTCGTCTCAATGGCTTACCCAAAACTTATAAAGTTGGAACACCATTGAGACCTATTTTATCTTATGATTGGGTCTTCTCAACACGGTGTGGCTAAATGGCTTTCCACTATAGTGCAACCGGTTTTGGAGCAGTATAACTCTGCTTGTATTAAAGATTCATTTGAATTTTCCCGTTTTATGCAGTGTTATTCACCTACGGATAAATTTATGTGTTCATATGAT